ATATATTTGTTAGGTGTGTGTGAGAGTTTCCATCAATTTTTTCCATTAAAAATAAAAGAAAAAAAGGTTTTCTATTTTGTATTCAGTCTCCACACATTCGGGTAGTATAACAGTTATCGGTTCGAAACGAGGAATCAGCGAGAAAAGTTAAAACGCCTTTTGCGTTCATTTTCGCAGAAATATTCTTGGAAAAGATATGAATCCACCTCCTTTTCCCTCACGCTATGGATTAAATAGCAACGTAAACTGGACTCTCCAGCCTTGGCGGGTAACCATTGAAAGAGTAAGAAAACTTAATTCAAAACCGTGGAGAAGACAGCGGGAAATATTTTCTTTTTTTTTTAAATCGAGTTAACCCCATGCAAGACAGTAAAGCCACAGAGACCCAAGGGGTTAATGGGTGCGGAAGAGTTAGAAGCAGAAGCTTTTCTAAAGTGCGAGAACAAAAAAAAGAGTAACCAGGAGGACAGCAGATAGTGATTGACATTACTCTTAAATGTTTGCAGATGAAAGTTGGCTGGAAAGCATGGAGCCAGAAGAGAGAAAAGAAGCGAGAAAAGACACTGTTAGCTTAGAATTTACGGTGACATCTTGTCAACCCAACTGTAAATTGGTGATACCTCGTCGCTAGTTTAGTACTACGCTTAAATTCAAAGAGTCTAGGCATCATAGCGAAGAGCTCATTCGAACAATTATCATGAAAGTATTTATAGAAAAGGCAAAAAGACAGGCAACTTTACGGCGCTGGGAAAGTGACTAAAGACGAGATGCCAGATCAGGACCGATAATATTGCTGATTCTTTGGATTTCATCACGTAGCTCTAGATAAAAAGGCAGGAGTACTGGACCATATCTGTCAGCAATATTCTAAGCCTGGACGAATGGTAGACTTATAGGTATATAAGATAGATTCTGGATAGAAACATTGTCTAGCACGACACAATGAACCAACTTTCTTAGTAGCTGACCTATCAATGGATTCAATATAGTCGTTCCACTTCATATCAGCCGAGAATGTTAGCCAACTTTTCCAAGAAGTCGTGGTAATTCACAGATAAAAAAGAAAAATAGACTGAAGAGTCATGATTTCATTGGTCTTAATGTCATGAAAAATGTTTTTCTTGAAAACCTTTAATAGAAAAGTGATTAAAATTTGATTTAGTTATGCATCTCAGGCATTATATCTCCTGCATAGTCCCATGGACATCACTTGCCTTTTCTTACGCTCAAGCAGCACCACACAGTAACGCACTATCGTGAGTGGCTTGTGAGACCTTTCTTACGCTCATACAACACCACACGATAACACTCTACCTTGAGGGACTCTTGTATCATTAAACCATTATTATCTAAAAAAAAATTTTACAGTCTCTAAAAATATTTTATGGCTTTCAATAACCTGAAAAGTGTTGGTAAGCCGTAGAAAACGAATCAATCTACCTCGAGTGGCTCTTGGGTTGGGTGAAGATTAGTATATAAAAAACATCAACATTAAATACGTATAAACTATATCAGGGGAGAAGACAACGGGGAAACAATTACACTATAATTCCCAAGAAGACATGACAATTCACACGTATAAAAAGAAAAGGAAGCTGTGGAGAGTCATAATCACCTACGTTTTAAAATAATTCTCTAGTTTTCAAAAATATTGGGCGCTAGGCATTTCTCTTATTGTATGGTTGAAAAAGGGTGTGTTTAGCCCACTTTTCAGCTATTCTTATCTGGGTGGGTGGGTGTTGCTGTTTGCTAAAGAGTGAACAACCTGTATGTGCTTAAGTAAGTGTGTGGAGGTGTGTATGGGGGAGGCTATGGACAGAATAGTAAGCCTGACGTTCGTGGGCTTGGAGATATTGGAGAGTATGTGGTTACATTTACTGTCAGAAGAACAGGGGAGTGCCGCGTTGAAGATGTGGAAGTGGGGGTTGCAGAAAGATGACTAACCAGGTAGGGTGGGTGTTTTGTCCGTAGGTAGATACGTGTGTGTGTGTGTGTGTGTGTGTGTGTGTGTGTGTTTGTTAGTCTTTTTGTACGTGTGTTTTGTTCGATTTCTCTCCGCCCCCAGCTCTTTTTTTTTGTTGGGGTGGGTGGGGGGAGTAGAATTACCATGATTATTTCTTGTTTCTTTTCGGGGCTTGTCGAAACCAATGTGAGACGTCCAAGAAGGGGGTGAAATAATTAGTTACTTCTGTTTCTATGTGCCGTATACCTTCAGGACGCGGGTGATCATAGCTCTCCACAGCTTCCTATCCTTCGAAACTAAGCTAGGTTTCTTCTCTTACTATGCCTCTCGGTCAGTGATTTGCCATCCGTTTACACCTGTGGTTCGGAAACTTTTTTTTGGGGGGGGGGTACCACCGACGTGCGTACCAAAACACAACCCCAAGCAACCCGCAAATGCAAAGTCAACCTTTGATTTGGATTTCTTGACGCTAGTATTGCATATCAAACCATTATCTTAGTTTTTCCCATAATAATTGCTACATGGGGTACATTGTGTAAAGGGAAGGCAAAATACACCGCGGGTAGAATCTGGGTGTGTGTTGTATGTTATGGTTCAGATGAGCCATTGCCATCCTCTTACTGTCCACTTTTTTTTCTCATCGCCCCCTGGCTCTTTCCACCTTGTGGTGTGGGGGTGGAACCTCCCACTTTGGGAGCCACTGGTTTACCCAAATTCGTTAGGTAACTTATTCGTTGTTTCCATTTCCCCGTCCAAGTCCGCTTTTCTCATTGTGTCCAAGAAATTCAACTTCATTTTAGATCAGAAGTACAAGTGTCCAGCCATTTTCTTTAACACTTCCTCGTCGTTCAAATGTCCCGTCCGTGGCTTACTCAACATCCTTTTGTAGAACAATGTCTCTGTTGCCTCAAATCTACTCTTCATCTGTGAGGAAATTGTCCAGTATTCACTGTCATATAGGAGGATTGATATTACATAGTTCAACGCTCTTTTCTTTGTTTCTATTGCCTCAGGTCTCCTCTTCATCTGTGAGGAAATTGTCCAGTATTCACTGTCATATAGGAGGATTGATATTACATAGTTCAACGCTCTTTTCTTTGTTTCTATTGCCTCAGGTCTCCTCTTCATCTGTGAGGAAATTGTCCAGTATTCACTGTCATATAGGAGGATTGATATTACATAGTTCAACGCTCTTTTCTTTGTTTCTATTGCCTCAGGTCTCCTCTTCATCTGTGAGGAAATTTCACTGTCCAGTATTCACTGTCATATAGGAGGATTGATATTACATAGTTCAACGCTCTTTTCTTTGTTTCTATTGCCTCAGGTCTCCTCTTCATCTGTGAGGAAATTGTCCAGTATTCACTGTCATATAGGAGGATTGATATTACATAGTTCAACGCTCTTTTCTTTGTTTCTATTGCCTCAGGTCTCCTCTTCATCTGTGAGGAAATTGTCCAGTATTCACTGTCATATAGGAAGATTGATATTACATAGTTCAACGCTCTTTTCTTTGTTTCTATTGCCTCAGGTCTCCTCTTCATCTGTGAGGAAATTGTCCAGTATTCACTGTCATATAGGAGGATTGATATTACATAGTTCAACGCTCTTTTCTTTGTTTCTATTGCCTCAGGTCTCCTCTTCATCTGTGAGGAAATTGTCCAGTATTCACTGTCATATAGGAGGATTGATATTACATAGTTCAACGCTCTTTTTTCTTTGTTTCTATTGCCTCAGGTCTCCTCTTCATCTGTGAGGAAATTGTCCAGTATTCACTGTCATATAGGAGGATTGATATTACATAGTTCAACGCTCTTTTCTTTGTTTCTATTGCCTCAGGTCTGTCATATCTTCATCTGTGAGGAAATTGTCCAGTATTCACTGTCATATAGGAGGATTGATATTACATAGTTCAACGCTCTTTTCTTTGTTTCTATTGCCTCAGGTCTCCTCTTCATCTGTGAGGAAATTGTCCAGTATTCACTGTCATATAGGAAGATTGATATTACATAGTTCAACGCTCTTTTCTTTGTTTCTTGATTGCTCCTCTTTGTTTCTTTGCAGGTCTCCTCTTCATCTGTGAGGAAATTGTCCAGTATTCACTGTCATATAGGAGGATTGATATTACATAGTTCAACGCTCTTTTCTTTGTTTCTATTGCCTCAGGTCTCCTCTTCATCTGTGAGGAAATTGTCCAGTATTCACTGTCATATAGGAGGATTGATATTACATAGTTCAACGCTCTTTTCTTTGTTTCTATTGCCTCAGGTCTCCTCTTCATCTGTGAGGAAATTGTCCAGTATTCACTGTCATATAGGAGGATTGATATTACATAGTTCAACGCTCTTTTCTTTGTTTCTATTGCCTCAGGTCTCCTCTTCATCTGTGAGGAAATTGTCCAGTATTCACTGTCATATAGGAGGATTGATATTACATAGTTCAACGCTCTTTTCTTTGTTTCTATTGCCTCAGGTCTCCTCTTCATCTGTGAGGAAATTGTCCAGTATTCACTGTCATATAGGAGGATTGATATTACATAGTTCAACGCTCTTTTCTTTGTTTCTATTGCCTCAGGTCTCCTCTTCATCATCTGAGGAAATTGTCCAGTATTCACTGTCATATAGGAGGATTGATATTACATAGTTCAACGCTCTTTTCTTTGTTTCTATTGCCTCAGGTCTCCTCTTCATCTGTGAGGAAATTGTCCAGTATTCACTGCCATATAGGAGGATTGATATTAGATAACAGTTCAACATTCATTTCTTTGTTTCTAACGAAATTTTCTTCTTTTTTTTTTTTTAATAATTTGGCAGGAATCTATGGCTACTTCAATGCGACTTCGGATTTCGGAGTCACCTTTTCCAACATCAGTTATATCACTTCACAAACAGTTAAATTTCTGTATCTGCTTACGATCATATTCCGCTAAAATCACCGATCACCGAAGTTAAGCAACATCGAGTCTGATCAGTACCTAGATGGGTGACCGTTTGGGAATACCAAGCACTGTAAAACTGGATGTACGGTTGGTATAATGGGGTTACGACCACATCACGTTCAAACACCGGTTCTTGTCCGATCATCGAAGTTAAGCAACATCAAACCTGAGAAGTACTTAGATGGGTGACCGCTTGGGAATAACAGGTGATGTAAGCCTTCCTTTTAGGAGTAATGGATAGCGGCTCGGACTGAGGAATCAGAGAGATAAGTTCGAATTTCAATCGAGTTCATTGCAGTCACTTACGTGCTAATACCCTTGGGAAATGTAATCTCAATCGCTATCTTCTGTCTTTTCAATTCCTGTTCCTTTATTGTTATCTCACCTTAACAGTGTTTTTTCTCATATCCTTTAACACCCAGTAACTCCTTACGTATTAGTGGCTTTATTGGCTTGCTTGACATGAAATGATAATATATATATATATATATATATATATATATATATATATATATATATATATGCAACTCACGATAGAGGATTACTGCTTAAGACTGCATTAAGGGCGTAGTAGAGTAAGAAGTGGTCCATATTATGAGTACACACACACACTCACACACGCACACACACACACACGCACACACACACGCACACACACACATGCATACACACACACACACACGCACACACATATATATATATATAACAAACCATGACAATTTGATCATAATGTAAACAGTATTTAGTTATTAAAAAACTCATTGAATATTACTCGCTTACTTTTGCCTTACCAGACTTTGTATTATGGAATTTGCATCTTCCACATATTTTGACTGACCTTCCAACCACCTGATGAATATTCATGAGCATTCTCAGATTTAAAAGCCTCGATAAACCGATGATGACCTTGCTCTTGTATATAAACACGTGCAACAAAATAAATCCTATATTGCCTTGATTAAAGTCCCTCAAAGGGCGAAACGTGTCGGCTAAGAATCGTTTTTCCTCTTGTCTTTTTGCGCGCACACACACACACACACACACACACACACACACACACACACACACACACACACACACACACACACACACACACACACACACACACACACACACACACACACACACATATATATATATATATATATATAGAAAGAGAGAGACTATCTGGAAAACTTCTATTTTGATATGTTTCGCCGATGAATCGGCGTCATCAGAAAAAGAATTTTATTTCAACGAGTTTAATTTCAAGGTTAAAGAAAATTCTTTTTTTTTATTATGACGCCAATAGGACAAGATAGAAAGTTTCAAAACTGTCTCATATATTTACCATTCTATTCGATTCTCATCCAAACTTTACACACACAGACACACTCACATCTCTCTCCCTATATATATATATATATATATATATATATATTAAACTTTGCATGTCACCCTTCTGATTTTAGTTCTATTAAGCAACATTTCTTAGAAAAACATACCCATGTACATAATATTAGACATATTAGTTGATAGCACAATAATAGTCACACATACACACAATAAAAAGAGCATTCAGATATTGGAGGCCATCTACATTAAAACAAAGCAACTCACACTCAACCAAATTATTTTTCAAACTAATCACAACATATTACATTGCATCTAGACATTGGTTCCGTTCCGGTCTATTGCGTGGTATTACGATCTGCTATTCCGCGACTGTTAATGTTGCATAGCAATATTCTATGCCAAAATAAAAAAATATCATCTTTAATGATGGATATCTTTGTTTCATGTCTGTATAACCACTCTGAGAATGGGTCATGTGAGCCAAAAGCTTAGGACCACCTTTATAAAAAAATATCCAAATATTGGACAATTTTTGTCTTCATTTTCACTAGAAATTAAAGCAAACATTCGAACATTGGAACGTCTGACATAATAAACATTCATTGTCTGTTGTATTTAATAATAATAATAATAATAATAATAATAATAATATATATATATATATATATATATATATATATATATATATATATATGAGATAACTATATATATTTATATATCAAGAACAATATTGGAGGATATATATGTGGAAGAAGAAACTTTTTCCACATTGTCATACATTTTCCCCAATATATATTAGGGCCTTGAATAAGTTCCCGCTGTTTTCCAACAGATGGCGTCCTCAGAACTGCGTGCATGTAATTTAAGATGGTAGATCATCTATAAGAAAGTACTATAAGCAAGCTTGAAATTCAGTGTATGTTATTTCGCCGAAGTGTTAACATCTTTGTTTTTCAAAGCGTTAAACCTGTCGGGTTTCGTGCAAAAAAAAAAGTGTATTTGCAAGTAAATTTACTACACTACTTTATTCAAAGTAAATCTGCAGCTGAAGCACACATAATTTTTGTTGAGACTTACGGCGACCATGCTCTGCCGGAAACAACATACAGACACTGGTTTAGAAAAAAATAATGATTTTGATGTTGAATATAAAGAATGCTCTGGTGCATCCAAAAAGTTTGAAAACGAAGAATTGGAAGCGTTATTTCATGGAGACTCATGTCAAGCGCAAGCTGAACTTGCAGAAACATCAGGAGTTGATCACACAACAGCTTCGTAACTTTTGAAAGCATTAAGAATAATTTAAAAGCAAGGCCATTAGTTGCCGTACGAGCTGAAGCCGAGAGACATAGAACGATGTCTTGTCACGTGAGAACAGCTGCTTCAACGAAAGGAAAGGAAAGGTTTTTTACATTGTATCGTGATCGGCGATGAAAAGTGGATAGACTACATTAAACCTAAGCGTAGAAAATCGTAGGGTAAGCCCGGTCATGCATCAACATCGGCGGCTAAACCGAATATCCATGCTTCAAAGCTTCTCTGCATTTGGTTGGATCAGCTGGGTGTAGTTTATTATGAGCTGCTCAAACCGACCGAAACCATCACAGGAGATCGCTATCGACTACAATTGATGCGTTTGAGCCGAGCATTGAAGAAAAAACGGTCGCTATACGAGCAGAGACACGACAAGGTGATTTTGCAACACGACAACGCTAGGCCACATGTTGCAAAACGGGTGAAAACCTACTTGGAAACGTTTAAATGGGAAGCCCTACCCCACCCGCCATATTGACTAAACATTGCCTCGTCCGATTATCACTTGTTCCGGCACATGGCTTGGCTAAGCAGCACTTTCATCCTTATGAAGATGTCAAAAAATGGGTCGACTCGTGGTTAGACTCAAAAGACGTGTCGTTTTTCCGACGTGGAATTCAGATGCTGCCGGAAAGATGAGAAAAAGTAGTAGCTAGCGATGGACAATACTTTCAATTTCTTCATAATTTTTGTAAATAAAACATTACTTTTCATGAAAAATCAGGGAGAACTTATTCAAGAGCCTAATATATATATATATATATATATATATATATATATATATATATATATATACTACAGGCAAAACGTTTGGGGTACCCTGCATTTCTTTAAAAAGCACCTTAAAATGAGATATTTTCTATTTTTTATGTAAAAGATAAAATTTCAATAATTACAGTCAATGCATTAATAGTCAGGTCTCAGTGTATTTGCTTTTATTTTGACAAAAATATGCACTTAACTATTATAAATTATTCATACAACAGCATCATATTTTGTTTTTGGCAATAAAACCACCACGAAGACGAATCAAATTTGAACTTTTTGGTAGTAAGAGGATCCTGAAAAAAAAAAAGTGATGTAGTGAGTGAAATTTTATCTCTTACTTTATAAATACAAAAAAAAAAATCTTATTTTAAGGTGTTTTTTTTTTTTTTTTAAAGAAATGCAGGGTTTATTCAATTTTTTTACCTTTAATGTAAATTTATGTGCAAATTTTTGGCCTTTCTTAATACAGCCCACTTGCCTTACCATTACTTTATGCTTCAGTTCTAGTGATTTTGCACGAACTAAGTACTTATGGTGATACAGGAAAAACTGACGACTAAACACCAAATATTGCTTTTTTTTTTAATGCAATCTTACAGATTGAGCTACTAATGTGTGTGTGGGTGTTGCAATGACTAAAATAATAATATTTATGATTGATTAAATTTGTGAAAAACAAAAGAAAGGTGTTTGTCAAAAAGAATACAGAAATATATAAATATTAAAAATAAATTTATTTTTCTGTCAGATAAGAAAAGCAAAACGACACTTAATTATACATTTATCTATTTTTTTCTTTCTTTTTCTCTTTCTTTGATCTAGCACGGCATCGTCTGTAAAACTCGGAAATTTGACAATAATGGGCCTAACAATGACGGACCACTGAAATATTCCCAGCTTCCTGCACATGACACAAAACGCATCGATATATGAACAATAGAAAACAGAACAATTTGGTCCAGTCGCACGCCTCCCTTTCCACATAGACATGTTGTGAGATTTGTCCATAGCAAACCGTCAAGTTCTGAGTATTGGCCCCAAACAAGCATTATCACGAATTTTTTCTATTTTGTTTCATACAGTTTATTTAAAAATAGGAGGAGGTTATTTTCCCGTTCCGATAAAATAGACAAACACGCTTTTAAGCTTATTTTACCGCTCCCGGCAAAATAGACTCTCAGGTTATTTTGCCGGTAAATATTTTTTTATTATTATGAAGGCAGATAATGTAAAAAATAACAACACACATTTAACACAGAGGCCTTTTTTTAATGCGGGGCAGAACCGAACCCGTAGGCTCGGGCAAAAATTCCCCGTAGACCCCGTATACACGGGGTCGAGTAGCCGCCTACCACTCCAGACGAAACTCTGCACTTTGGCATAGCCTCGTCTGGGTTCCTCTCTGCACGAAAGCAGAGTTCGACTAGCTTAGCTGAAGACAAATCTCCAACTAATTGCCGAAGCAAGTATATTTGCTAACCGCCACACGCAGTCAAACGTGGCACAAGGCCGAATTTAACGTGTAGTATACGAGCCCGTAGAGCCGGGCAAAAATTCCCCGTAGACGCCGTAAAAAAACGGGGCCGGGTAGCTGTCTACCACCTAAGACGAAACTCTGCCCTTCGGCATAGCCTTGTCGGAGTTCCTCTCTGCCCGAAGGCAGAGAGTTCGACTAGCTTAGATGGAGACGAATCTCTAATTACCGAATCAAAGTTTTTTACCTCACCAGCCCGCGGGGCAGGATGTGGCACAAGGCTGTTTTTAATGCGGGTTTAAAACCGAGCCCGTGAACTCGGGAA